GGCCATGACATCTTGGAGCTGATGGATCATGAACCAAAACAACATCGCCCGTCTTGACATTATCTCTTGCTTTGCGCCATTTTTGTCTCTCCTGAAGAGCCGGTAAATACTCTTTTATCCATCGATGCCAAAACACATCAGCAAGATATTGTGCTTGGCGCCAACGCTTTCTCACGTAACAGTCCTCCTTGACAAATATAGGAAACAGCACCATAACCCGTTGATGATGCATCACCAAAGTGATGTAGTTCTCGATACACAACCGCTCCAAGTTTCGGCTCTTTATAACTACGCCGAATTCTCAATGTTGTCAGATGGCTCAAGTCAGACAGCCATTTGTTCCACTCAATCTCGATTTTCTTAGGAATGTCTTGGTCCCATTTACAATTAAGTAAGCACAGTTCTCGAAGCAGAAATTTTGCCTTCAGTATAAATGGAGATACCAATCCCAATGGATCATACACCGAAGCTACCACTGACAAGATACCTCTGCGTGTACTGGGTTTGGTTTTTGGAGAGATAACATAGCCAAGACTGTCTTCCTTGATGAACCACTGGACTCCGAGAGCCCGTTGCAAGTCACCACCTCCCAGAGATGATAGATCCTTTGATTTATCCTGTTGAAGGGCATTCAATAACTTTACGGAATTTGAACTCCACTTGGTCAGGTTGAAACCACCCTTTGCAAGCAGATGCTTAAGATTTAGAGCAGTGCTAATCGCCTCATCTTCACTATCTAAAGACTTGAGACAGTCGTCAACATAAAAGTTGTTTTCAATAGTATTAGTGATAGTCTGCTCATGTTCTCCTGCACGGTCCTTTGCCACATTTCTAAGGGCAAAATTGGCACAACTTGGTGACGATCGTCCACCAAAAAGATGTACCCGCATTTGATATTCTTGTGGAGAATTATTCAGATTACCATTTTCCCACCAAAGGTAAGTTAGGTAGTGGGAGTCAGTTTCAGGCACTCTAACTTGGTAGAACATTTTCTCAACATCAGCCGAGAAGGCAACTTGACTGAGTCGAAACCGCATCAACACACCCATTAGGGAACTGGTTAAGTCCGGCCCCTGTAGAAGAAGGTCATTGAGGCAAACATCTTTGTATTTTGCTGAGCAGTCAAATACTATACGCACCTTCTCCGGCTTTTGAGGATGTATGACTGGGTGATGTGGTAGAAACCACCTTGATTCATGGCCTACAGCGGAACACACCTTTCTAGCATAGCCGTCCTGGACTAAGCCTTCCATGAACTTGGTGTACTTCACCTTTAGAATGTAGTCTTTCTCAAGTCGAACCTTGAGAGAATTCAGCCTTTTCAAGGCCATTGACTTGTTGTTGGGTAGCACTTGAGGATCTGTCTTCCATGGCATAGCTACTTGATAATGACCATCTTCGAAGCAAATTGATCGTTTCATGATGTTGATAGCCTTCATGTCATCACGAGACATCACAGTTTTTCCTACATTGGTGTCATTGAAGTCAATGTTACAAAATGTTTTAAATTGTTCATCAAGAGGAGAATACTCTAGGCATTGCCTATTGGAGTTAATGAAATTACACATGTTCTCTTGTTGGCCTATATATAATGGACCATTGACAACCCAACCACACAATGTTCGTGTAGCATAGGGACCACCATTAGTTGATGTTTTGACCTCAAGGGGTTGATGCAGTTCTGGAATGTTAGTGCCAATCAATAGTCCAACTTCTTCATTAATATTTGTCACCTGAACACCATCAAGATGTGGCCACTTATTGATATCTTCCTGCTTAGCAATTGTGTGGCTGTCCACTGGCAAAGTTGGAATAGTAAATACTTCGGGAGCCATAACGACAATATCCCCATTCAAATTGGAGATTTCAAGTGTTAGTAGTCTCCGTTGATTGGTAGATGTGCGGCCTATTGTCTTCAAGTCAATTTCGGTTTTCTTACCCTGGACGCCTAATTTCTGAGCGAGAGATTCAGTACAGAAACTTATGTTTGATCCATTGTCCAAGAATGCATATGTCTTTACAGTTTTTCTTCCTCCTGAGCACCTAACACTGACAGGCACTGCTGCAAACCCAATGATGCTATTTTTGCAAGTAACGGCTGTAGATGTACCCTGATGCGACTCACTCAGATTTTGAGCTTGAATTGAAGATGATGCTGGCGAATTACTAGGTATGGTTGTTTGATGTGTCGTAACTGGATGAAGAAAACTTGAATGCTTATCAGCACACAGCTTGCAAAAACTTCCTTTTCTGCAAGTACTAACAAAATGACCAGGGTTGAGGCAATTGCGACACAGCTTCTTTTCTTGCACAAACCTCCTACGTTCCCCAACTGACTTCTCCTTGAATTCCCCGCACTGTGACAGCCAATGTGAAGAACTACACAGGGGACAGTTCCTTCTAAATGGTTTTGATTCAGAAATGTGAGGCGACACACTAACTGCAAACGATCTACCACTTTCCTTTTGTTGATTGGAAATTACAGAGAAACTTGGATCATTTCTCATTACTGATTCTTGATGAATGAAATTGTAGAATACTTCAAATGGTGGAAATAAAACGTTGTTGTTTGTCTTGAAACTAGCACCATGCTTCATCCACGAAACTTTCAGGCTTGGAGGTAGTTTTTGTATAACTACATTGAGCCCATGGGCAGAGTCAAGGCTGGCAAGACCAGGATATTTTCCAGACTCCTTCATGTGAAGAACTTCTAGAAGTAGGTGATCTAAATGCTGCAGCTTGATTGATTCCTTAATGGTGAACCTTGGAAATTCTTGTAGACGATTCATCAAATCTTGTTCAATCACCTCTACTGCACCATATGTTTGGTCTAGGAGATTCCATATATGTTTCAGAGCTTCGATTGGTTTGTCTACATAAACACTTTGAAGTGGTGTAACCAGTTCTCGTGAACTGTTTCCCAACCATCGCATAATCAGATTTACCTCTTGTGAGGGGGGTACATTTAACTCGCTTATAGTGCTCATCATTAATGCCTTCCAGGCCCTGTAAGAAGTTGCACTGTCATTGAAAGTTCGAAGACTGGAACTCAATAGCTCTTTTCTGAACATTATGTTGCCCATTTCAGTGATCACATTTGCTGATTGATCAGACTGACTCTTGGTAGACTGTTGGCTGACGTTAACTAACTGCTCCTCCACATGAGCGGATTGTTGTTTGCTCTGAGGAGTGCCTGATTGACCTGTTGTCAAAGGTAGTGCTGGGGATGGCAAAGTCACATCATTCACACCGAGTGGAGAAAGAAGATTCGCATTTCCTTGAGGGGGTTGAGCTGACCACCATGGGTCTTCAAACGACAGCACTTGAGATCCCAGCTTCTCCTCTCCCTTTGTGACATCTTCAACTGGATTTGACTCTAGGGCTTCATATACCCGTTCTTCCGCCTCTGACTCGGCAAGCTGAGTTTCTTGTTCGAAACGTATCCTTTGTTGCCTTAATTTGAGCTCCTCCAGTTCGAGTGCTTCTGTCTGGGCCAGTCTTTGCAGTCTAACTTTCAAAGCTGCACCCTTGGCTGCTGCTCTTGCCTTTGATGATGCCGTACTGGCACTTGAAGATACGGAAATATTGTCTGGTTGATCCATGACATCAAGAAACTTGAAACTGTAACAGCTCCTGCTGTTCGGTTGAGGGAGAGTATTGACGCGACACAATTGATTGGGTAAAACACAACTATCAACGCATTGATCACTTTAATCACATCTAGTAGACATACGAGGTTGAGTACAATATAATATTGGCAGTGACAATGACAATGATTTCAACTGTAAAATGAATAAAAAAGAAAATAAATAAAGAAATTACAAAGGTATAAATAATGTACAAGTATAATGTAAATACATAATTTTAGACAATAAAATATGATTCACACATTGGTAATATTCGCGGCTTACAGACCAATAATAGCGAACAATAAAAATACAGAAGTAGGTGTTGCGATACAAGTCAATTACATCACACATGGAGATAGCGGTCACGTGATAAGCATCGAGTGAAACAAAATTGCACATAATCGAAATAAGGTTGCGAATCTTGAGATATAACAATAAATCGTTGAATCAGATTAACTAGACACGCATAAATCACTAATTAAGGCATTGGTTGCACAATCATCGATCAAAAACAAATACATAAAGTTTCACGGAATTTTCCACATCATGTTGACCTACGACGCCTCGTGTAAATTGCATTTAGAAACCTCGCTGAATTCACTCATCAGAAAATTAGTAATTCTGAACGATGTCATTATTACAGTAACAGGAAATAAGATCACACTTACGTTTGTGTCTTGACCATGGAATAGCGTGAATTGAATGACGAATTGAGCGTTAGTGACGAGTCAAAATCAAATGCCGCGGTAGCGTGAAAACTTGTGATCTTCAAAAGGTAAAAGGTCAACTTTGAACAAAACGAAAGGGCCACTAGAGGGCGCCACATATCTAACTGTGTTGCAAACCGGCAGCAACAATTGCTTGATGCACCATTGTCAGTAGACACAAGTTTAGAGATGCTAAACAGCATGAGAGTTACCATGGCATATGAACTAATTACACAGAATATCCTAGTTAGAAAGCAAATTACAAGTGAAACCAATATTAAAACCATTCAAACAACAGGTAAAATAGAGCAAACAAAATTGCAAGATAGAAGATTTTCACTTGATAAACAAAAAGTTAATATACCTAAACTATATAAACGGTCAGTCGAATGGGTAGAAACATCTGTAATTTGGAGATATCGGGAGGTAGATAGAAGAGTAATTAAAAATCCAAGCAAGAGAAGTGACTTCCTTGATGGATTTATAAAACCAAAAATTATCCGTGAAAATTTCAAAATTTCAGAACCACTTACACTCTCAGTTAAACTTGACACTGGACATGCATACTTATATGATGGCAATCATCGAATACGTATTGCGAAAGAATTAAATATAAAATGGATACCAATAGTGATTTCAACAGTATTTCTTAATGACTTAACAGATATTCATGGAAATGAATGGCAGAAAGTTCCATCATGGAAAGGGTGTCTGCTCCAGATACAGCAATTGCCAATTACACCTTCCGATCTTGGATTTGATGCTTCTGCCACTTGTCCATTAGACAAATAAATAAATAAATAGCTTAGTTTTACAATGTTCAGTCATGCCTACCTATAACGTGATCGGCTTGATTAAAACTTGATCGGCTTTACTATCCAAAAGCTCCAAGTTTGAAATACAAGCATCTGAGAGCGCTGGAAAAACCAGCAGCCTAGGGATGCAAGCATCCCTAAGTAACCAGTACTAAAATTTGTAGCTGTTGAAAAACAGCCACAAACTTTAGGCCGTCCATAAATCCCAGAATTACCTTTGGTAGAAGTCTGATTTCAAAGATTTCTTATTTCAGAATTCTTTCTTTTCAGAATTTAAAACCATGGTAATCATGTCATCACCCCATCCATCCTTTCCTGGGCTGCAGGTATCACACAATGTACAGCTTTGTGGGTATCTGCTATGGCATCAGACACTGTTAAGACAAATAGGACATGACAGTAGTCCATAAGCATAAATGTTTCAGGTGAGATCACATCATCTGAAACTTACCCACAGTAAATTGGACCTGCTTTTAAATTTAGTTTTTTTTAACATTACAATTTTATATCTTGCAGATATTTTGTGCCTTACTGCATTCATCATATATTCTTGATCTAATTATCAGGGAAAATGTATGCACTCCCAGTACAGGAAATATCATATCATAGCAAAAATGTTATTGATGCATTTGTATGTCTTCCTTATTTAGAAAATTATGTGTCACTTTAACGTCACATTCTTTTGTTCACTTCAGACACAAGAACACTATTAAATATTGCATAATGCTAAAGATTCTTTATTGCGATTTTGTGTTATAGTTTCATTAATTATTATTAAAAGCAGGGAAAAAAAGTATAATAATATTATGAGGTTATTATGAGGTTGATGCAACGGCATACCGTCTGAGTGCATATTTTGAGATATCCTCAGAATAACCTTACTATTATACATCTTTTCCTTCCAAAGGTACATAATGGGAAAGCTGAGGTCCAAAATGTTTAGAACAGAATCAGCGAACTTCTTTGTGTGGAGTCAATTCAAAGTCTAGTGGCAGCCATGTTTGTTTTTATCATTAGAGGACGCTTATGCATGTAATCATTCCATATTTGGAATTTGCATTTCCTTATATGGTAGGATGAAAATACCCCATAAAATACCGCACAATTACGGCATGCTGTAACTTCTGGCATTACGGTGACAGATGTATAATAATATTATGAGGTTATTACAAGAATAACACGAAGTATACACAACAGCAGTATGGTGATCATATCGACAGAAGTGTAGCAGAGGTTGATAAGTTACCGTAATGCTAGAGTGCATATAGATTGCGATAATCTCATTAATATAGTGATAATTAATGAGTGGAAGCTAAATGACAGTGCACACCCGATATTTTTAATTAAATTGGTGATTTAAATTGCATAGATGGGCAGTTCTACCACAATTATGATTTCCATATTTTAAAATTGTCTGCTAATTATTAAATGTCACCTATTACAAATTGTTGTCAATACATGTATGTTTCATACCACATAGGTGGTTAAGGTGCACACTCAATATTTTAACTGTAATTAGTGACTTAATTAGTGTCTGCTAGCAAATAGATAGGGCAGTTCCACCACAATTATGATTTCCATATTTTAAAATTGTCTGCTAATTATTAAATGTCACCTATCACAAATTGTAGTCAATACATGTATGTTTCATACCACATAGGTGGTTAAGGTGCACACTCAATATTTTAACTGTAATTTGTGACTTAATTAGTGTCTGCTAGCAAAACAAGCAGTTCTACCATAATTATGATTTCCATATTTTAAAATTGTCTGCTAATTATTAAATGTCACCTATTGCAAATTGTTGTCAGTACATGTATGTTTCATACCACATAAGTGGTTAAGGTGCACACTCAATATTTTTACTGTAATTAGTGACTTAATTAGTGTCTGCTAGCAAATAGATAGGGCAGTTCTACCACAATTATGATTTCCATATTTTAAAATTTTCTGCTAATTATTAAATGTCACCTATCACAAATGGTAGTCAATACATGTATGTTTCATATAACATAGGTGGTTAAGGTGCACACTCAATATTTTTACTGTAATTAGTGACTTAATTAGTGTCTGCTAGCAAATAGATAGGGCAGTTCTACCATAATTATGATTTCCATATTTTAAAATTTTCTGCTAATTATTAAATGTCACCTATCACAAATGGTAGTCAATACATGTATGTTTCATATAACATAAGTGGTTAAGGTGCACACTCAATATTGTTACTGTAATTAGTGACTTAATTGGTGTCTGCTAGCAAATATATAGGGCAGTTCTACCACAATTATGATTTCCATATTTTAAAATTGTCTGCTAATTATTAAATGTCACCTATCACAAATTGTAGTCCATACATGTATGTTTCATATAACATAAGTGGTTAAAGTGCACACTCAATATTTTAACTGTAATTTGTGATTTAATTAGTGTCTGCTAGCAAAAAGAGCAGTTCCACCACAATTATGATTTGCATATTTTAAAATTGTCTGCTAATTATTAAATGTCACCTATCACAAATTGTAGTCAATACATGTATGTTTCATACCACATAGGTGGTTAAGGTGCACACTCAATATTTTTACTGTAATTTGTGATTTAATTAGTGTCTGCTAGCAAAAAGAGCAGTTCCACCACAATTATGATTTGCATATTTTAAAATTGTCTGCTAATTATTAAATGTCACCTATCACAAATTGTAGTCAATACATGTATGTTTCATACCACATAGGTGGTTAAGGTGCACACTCAATATTTTTACTGTAATTTGTGATTTAATTAGTGTCTGCTAGCAAAAAGAGCAGTTCCACCACAATTATGATTTCCATATTTTAAAATGTCTGCTAATTATTAATTATCACCTATACAAATTGTAGGCAATACATGTATGTTTCATACCACATAAGTGGTTAAGATGCACACTCAATATTTTTACTGTAATTAGTGACTTAATTAGTGTCTGCTAGCATATAGACAGGGCAGTTCTACCACAATTATGATTTCCATATTTTAAAATTGTCTGCTAATTATTAAATGTCACCTATCACAAATTGTAGTCCATACATGTATGTTTCATACCACATAGGTGGTTGAGGTGCGCACTCAATATTTTTACTGTAATTAGTGACTTAATTAGTGTCTGCTAGCATATAGATAGGGCAGTTCTACCACAATTATGATTTCCATATTTTAAAATTGTCTGCTAATTATCAAATGTCACCTATCACAAATTGTTGTCAGTACATGTATGTTTCATACCACATAAGTGGTTAAAGTGCACACTCAATATTTTTACTGTAATTAGTGACTTAATTAGTGTCTGCTAGCATATAGACAGGGCAGTTCTACCACAATTATGATTTCCATATTTTAAAATTGTCTGCTAATTATTAAATGTCACCTATTACAAATTGTAGTCAATACATGTATGTTTCATACCACATAGGTGGTTAAG